GAGTATGTCCTCTAACTTACTGGCACCCATGGCAATATGGTGCAGTGGTAGCAGGCCGCTGCTAAACACTGTTCCGACCCGGTTCTATTACGCTTGGGGGTACTAATAAGGCCCAGGTTAGGTCGACACTGAATTTCTGACAGGATGAGGAATTCGTTAGGGAGGTGAGGCTAAGTGAACTTTATTTTTCTTTTCCTTGTGGGAAAGATTCTACATAAAGTCCTTAAACTTTCCACAATCGACCTGGGACGAATTGGTACTTGCGCAAGACTCTTGTTGGCTATAGGGTCTTCAGAATTGCAAAGAGTCCGGAATGTGAAGAGAAGAGTTCGAGCCTCAAAAAGCTTGGCCAAGTGGATACGGACAAATTGTATGAGGAAGCAGTCGTAGTAAGTATGTTACATTGGAGTCATAGAAACTTAAACCTTCTACTCACAACTGGACGACGGGGAATAGATATCTGATACCCGAAGAAATATTCGGCTTTGTGGTACAAAATTCACTTTTCACAATTTGTGATGTAATGCCGAATTTGGCGCTATGTCAAATGCGTTCATTTCTTTTTACGCAGATGGCGAATCTATTCCAAAATCGCTATTTTCACATAAGAATGATGGCCAAAGTAGTGATAGCCCCAATCGCTTCGTGGCCCAATTTTGTTCAACTCCTACCCCCTGGCGGCAAACCCCACGACATTATGGGAATGCAGACCAAACGTGTGATATCGACGGCTTCAGACTTCGGTGGACGACTTGCCACGGCTTCCTGTGGTTGTCGGCATGCAGGAGTGCTTGAGTCTAGACGTGTATGTGCCTGTGTATGTTTGACTGTAGGACGGTCTTGAGATGTGTGCCTACATCGGGCTACAGGTATGCGGCAGTCAGGTGACGCCAAGAAATCTAGTCTGAAAATCTTCGCCTATCGTCCAGACTCATTTTCACATGCTTTACTATGCTCACAACGATTTGGTGGATAGGCCTATTTTTCTCTCATACGCTTCCTCGGAATCCGATTGTCTCTCGCACTGTGGCACACGCGCACAGTCCCGCTCGCTGTAGTCCTACTCTTAGATTTTGACCAGGCCTATCTCTTTTCTCTGATTCCTCTTCACATGTTTTCAGCCTACTCGGCCCGATGGCTGGGTACCGGTAGAATACGGTTGATGATGTGGGGAGCAAGTCCATAAACGGCGTAGATCGCTGTCTTCCCTATTCTTTCTAGCCTTCGTCAGGCCGGCGGTACGGTATGTCGATTTCCCGATGCCTGCGTATAAATGTCCTGATTCGTGACAAATGGTACACTCTTGCTG